TATGTTAAAGTCAAAGCCTACACATCCACAGAGGCACCTAGTACAAATCAAACCGGAGAATTTAGCATTGAAAGAGCAGAGTGATTAGCTTGTGACTGGTCACAGAAATGGCTATGTTAAAGTCAAAGCCTACACATCCACAGAGGCACCTAGTATAAATCAAACAGGAGAATTTAACATGGAAATAACTGAGGGATTAGCTTGTGACTGGTCATAGAAATAGCTGTGTTAAAGTCAAAGCCTACACATCTACAGAGGCACCTAGTACATGGACGCCAAAGGGGCTGCAACACCTCGACTATCATATAGTAAACCGATGTGAAAAAACCTAAGTCTAAATTACATCAATATAACAAATGTACTCAATATATTCTTCAATAAGCTGAGCTAGTAACAGTAACTGGGTATACACTACACTATATAATGAATACTATATAGTAAACCAATAAAAAACTAAAATATAAACTACATCAATGTTATCAATAAACTCTATATATTCTCCAATCAGCTAAGCTACCAACAATAAGTCGTAGAGTGGCAGTCTGGATGACGTCAGTTTCAAATTTTTCCATGAATACGTTGGCTACAACCGGAGATAGGGGGGAGCCCATTGGGGTGCCCTCAGTTTGTTTGTAGAAAGTTCCATTCCAAACAAACTGAGGGCACCCCAATGGGCTCCCCCATATCTCCGGTTGTAGCCAGCGTATTCATGGAAAAATTAGAAACTGATGCCATCCAGACTGCCACTCTACGCCCGACCTTATGGAAGAGGTACGTGGATGACACTTTTGTCATCTGACCACATGGCCAGCCTGCTCTAGACCAATTCCGCGACCACATCAATTCCATACACCCAGCCATCAGATTTACCATGGAGGTCGAAAAAGATGGCAAACTACCCTTTTTGGATGTCTTAATTAAAAGGAGACATGATGGTTCAATGAGCCACTCTGTCTACAGGAAAGCTACCCATACAGATGCTTACTTGAAACCGGATTCCCACCACCATCCATCCCAGAAGAACTCCCTCATCAAGACTCTATACCATAGAGCCCAATGCATTTCCGACCAGGAACACATTACCAGTGAACTCAAGCACGTACACCAGGCTCTCAGGGCTAATGGTTACTCCGACTACACAATCCGCAAAGCCATCACTCCAGTCATGAAGAAGGATCCTCTTGTGGAGCCACTCAAAACCATCACCTTACCCTACATTGCAGGGGTCACTAAAAAGATCTCCAAAATCCTGAATAAACACAAGATCCAGGTCCGATTCAACACAGTACATAAAATCCGTGATCTGGTTCCATCTGTAAAAGAAGCTGTTCCAGACATACAGTACCCGGGCGTTTACAAACTAAAGTGTCTCTGTGGTAGTAGTTACATTGGAGAAACCAAACGACATATCTCGGACCGCATCCGCGAACATAAGCAGACTTGAAACACGGTAGAACGAACTCCTCTGCCGTGGCAGATCACTGTTATAATTCAGTGGGCTCACATGACATTGACTTCTCCAAGACGGAGGATCTTTGCAAACCAACCGGCTACCATGAGAGATTCGTTCATGAGGCCATTCATATATATAAGCACAGAGACAATTTCAACCGAGAAGATGGATTCTGGCTTAGTAACCATTGGAAAGATGGTTTAAACCATTTCGGTTCTTAATTAATTGTATTTTACGATGGCCTTCAGACCGCAGCTGTTTCGCTGGCATTGACTCTTAATACCTCTCACACCACGGTTAATGGTATGGTTTACAACATGGAGTATAACAGCGCCTTGCAGCTGTCTCTCTCCCCCTCCTCCGTTCCGACCATGGATGAACTCGTCCATCTGAACGGGGCTCGTAGCTATCCGTGGTGCTAAAGTTGAGGGTAAGAATCCACCCATTTTTTCGCCATATAGCATTGTGATATATAACGACTTATTGTTGGTAGCTTAGCTGATTGGAGAATATATAGAGTTTATTGATAACATTGAGGTAGTTTATATTTTAGTTTTTTATTGGTTTACTATGTAGTATTCATTATATAGTGTAGTGTATACCCAGTTACTGTTAATGGCTCAGCTTATTGTAGAATATATTGAGTACATTTGTTATATTGATGTATCTTCTTTGGTTCTTTCGGTAAAGTCACGTAGAATGAGAATAAAATAATAAATGGATAAAATAAAATAACACAATAATATTCTCACGACGTTTCGGCCACAACACAAGCGGCCTTCATCAGGTGAAGGGACGAGACTGTCTGGTAGGACAGCGCTGGAGTGAAAGAGCCACGTTCAGATCACGGCCTTTAAGCTGTGTGAGAGGAACAAAGCGCCTTGACAAAGGAATTAGCATATAATTTAGCATTGAAATGGCTGAATGATTAGCTTGTGACTGGTCACAGAAATAGTTATGTTAAAAGTTAAAGCATACACATCCGCAGAGGCACCCCTTGACAATGGAATTAGCATAGAATTTAGCATTGAAATAGCTAAGTTAAAGCATACACATCCGCAGAGGCACCCGTTGACAATGGAATTAGCATAGAATTTAGCATTGAAATAGCTGAGTGATTAGCTTGTAACTGCTCACAGAAATAGCTACGTTAAAGTCAGACCATACACATTCACCGAGGCACTTAGTACAAATCAAACAGGAGAATTTAGCATTGAAATAACTAGACGAATTTAGCATTGAAATAACTGAGTGATTAGCTAGTGACTGGTCACAGAAATGACTATGTTGAAGTCAAGGCCTACACATCTGAGCTATTCACAGTACTATATAGTGAACCAATAAAAAAAACTAAAATATAAATTACCTTAATGTTATCAATAAACTCTATATTCTCCAATCAGCTAAGCTACCAACAATACGTCGTTATATATCACAATGCTATATGGCGAAAAAATGGGTGGATTCTTACCCTCAACTTTAGCACCACGGATAGCTACGGGCCCCGTTCAGACGGACGAGTTCGTCCATGGTCGGAACAGAGGAGGGGGAGAGAGACAGCTGCGAGGCCCTAGTATACTCCATGTTGTAAAACCATACCATTAACCGTGGTGTGAGAGGTATTAAGAGGCAATGCTGGCGAAAGAGCTGCGGTCTGAAGGTCATCGTAAAAATACAATTAATTAAGAACAGAAATGATTTAAATCGAAATATATTGATGTAATTTAGACTTAGGTTTTTTCACATCGGTTTACTATATGATAGTCGAGTTGTTGCAGCCCCTTTGGCGTCCATGTACTAGGTGCCTCTGTAGATGTGTAGGCTTTGACTTTAACGTAGCTATTTCTATGACCAGTCACAAGCTAATCCCTCAGTTATTTCAATGTTAAATTCTCCTGTTTGATTTATACTAGGTGCCTCTGTGGATGTGTAGGCTTTGACTTTAACATAGCCATTTCTGCGACCAGTCACAAGCTAATCACTCTGCTCTTTCAATGCTAAATTATCCTGTTTAATTTGTACTAGGTGCCTCTGTGGATGTGTAGGCTTTGACTTTAACATGGCCATTTCTGTGACCAGTCACAAGCTAATCACTCAGCTCTTTCAATGCTAAATTCTCCTGGTTGATTTGTACTAGGTGCCTCTGTGGATGTGTAGGCTTTGACTTTAACATAGCCATTTCTATGACCACTCACAAGCTAATCCCTCAGTTATTTCAATGCTAAATTCTCCTGTTCGATTTATACTAGGTGCCTCTGTGGATGTGTAGGTTTTGACTTTAACATAGCCATTTCTGTGACCAGTCACAAGCTAATCACTCAGCTCTTTCAATGCTAAATTCTCCTGTTTGATTTGTACTAGGTGCCTCTGTGGATGTGTAGGCTTTGACTTTAACATAACTATTTCTATGACCAGTCACAAGCTAATCCCTCAGTTATTTCAATGCTAAATTCTCCTGTTTGATTTGTACCAGGTGCCTCTGTGGATGTGTAGGCTTTGACTTTAACATAGCCATTTCTGTGACCAGTCACAAGCTAATCCCGCAGCTATTTCAATGCTAAATTATCCGAACCAAACATTAAACTAATTTTCAATGCTACAGTATATTTTTTCAAGTAGTGGTATCCCAAACTTTCTCAGCAGCTTAAATTCCCTTTTCACACCATGAATATGTAAACTCCCCCTCCTCCCCTCGCCGGTCTGCACATGTTCACCCCCTCTACACCGTTCATCATGCTTAGTCCGCCAATTAAATGCTATTTTTTATGCTAATTCCTTTGTCAAGGCGCTCTGTTTCTTCTCACACAGCTTAAAGGTCGCGGCCTGAACTTGGCTGTGTTCGCTCCAGCGCTGTCCTCCAGACAGTCTCGTCCCTTCACCTGATGAAGGCCGCTTGTGTTGTGGCCGAAACGTCATGAGAATTTTATTGTGTTATTTTATTTTATTAATTTATTATTTTATTCTCATTCTACGTGACTTTACCGAAAGAACCGAAAGAACCAAAGAAGATGAATTCTTGCAGTCACAAAAGCTTTAAATCGACACCCCACCTTCTTGTTGACCCCCACATTCCACCAATTATGTACTGCCCCGTCGACTAATCCTCTCACCGCCCGCCATCCGGCTTGACCTGACTGGCCAACTCGTGCCAAACCCCTGGTCACGGCCAGACTCCGTGGCACCTTGGCTTCCGGAGATGGGGCATTTGGGGGATTTCCCCCCCATAACTGCTCACACCCCTTACCTCATGTAACTTCGGCCACCCTGCTTCACCCCGGGGCGACAGTATTTGTCTATACTGTTACACCCATGTATCTGTGTCTCACTCCGTGTCTACTCACGTGTCCCCATGTCTCTTTCCATAGTATCTCCAGGCTATCTCCATGAACCGCGTGTCCCTGTGTCTCACCCTGTGGTGTTCCCGTGTCTAACCGCATGTCCCCGTGGTGTCTCACCCCCCCACCCCCATGTCTATGTCCCCGTGTCTCACTCAATGTCTAACCGCGTGTCCCTGTCTCAACTCTCTCCCACCCCCCCGTGTCCCCAGGCTGTCTCCATGAACCGTGTGGCTGCTCCCCTGGCGTCGCGATCAGGTGAGGGCAGGCTCCACAGCGGGGGCAGCACCAGGTCCGAGCCCGCGACTGGTGGAGATGGCGGAGCAGCGCTGGTGGAGGATGAAGCTCACAATGGCCTGATTGGCTCCGGGGGAGCTGCCGGCGGGGATGATGACGGCGGTGACGATGGCGGTGACGGTGGTGGTGATGGCGGAGACCTGGCCGAGAATGAAGCTAGGAGACGGCGAGTGGAGGCAAAGTGTGCAGAGTTGGCCGAGATGATGTGGGAGGAAGGGTGAGGTCCCCCATGTGTCTCCCTCTGTCCCCATGTATGTGTGTGTATGTTAATCTTTTTTTGCACTGTAAATGACCTACTGCACTAAGGTTCAGGGAAGGACAACAAACTCTGTGTGTCCCCATCTGTCCCAGTGTGTCTCGGTGTGTCACCATGTGTTCCCGCGTGTCTCCTTGTGTATCCATGTGTCACCACGTGTTCCCGTGTGCCACCATGTGCCCCCACGTGTCCCAGTATGTCTCTATGTGTCCCACTGTGTCCCTGTATCACCCCGTGTCTCCGTGTATTCCATGTGTCCCTTTGTGTCACTCAACTTGTGTCCCCGTTTTTCTCCGTGTGTCTTCTTGTGTCTTCGTGTGTCTCTATATGTACCCGTGTGTCTCTGTGCGTCTTCCTGTGTCAGCTTGTGTCCCCACGTGTATCCACCTGTCCCTGTGTGTCACCCTGTGTCCTCACGTGTGTTTCCATGTGCGTCTCCGTGTTTCTCTGTCTGTCTGCGTGTGTCTTCACATGTTCCCGTGTGTCCCTTTGTGTCTCCGTGTGTCTTCGTGTGTCTCCGTATGTCTCTGGGTGTCCTTGTCAGTCTCCGTATGCCGTCGTTTGTCTCTATGTGCCTTGATGTGTCTTCATGTGTCTCCGTGTGTCTCGGCGTGTCCCCACATGTGTCTCCGTGTGTGTCCCCGTGTGTGTCTCTGTGTATCTATATGTGTGTCATTGTGTCCCTGTGTGTATCCATGCATTAGCGTGTGTCCGTGTGTGTCACCGTGTGTCCCCAGGTGTCTACGTGTGTCCCCACGCATGTCCCCTTGTGTCTCTATGTGTCCCACTGTGTCCCCATATCACCCCGTGTCCCCCCGTGTCTCCATGTATCCCCGTGTGTCTCCGTGTGTTTCCGTGTATATCCGTGTGTTTCCGTGTGTTTCTGTGTTTCCGTGTGTATCTGTGTGTCTCCGTGTCTTCATGTGTATCCGTGTGTCTTGGTGTATCCCTGTGTGTCCCCACGTATGTCTCCGTGTGTGTCTCCGTGTGTTTCTGGGTGTCTCCGTATGTCCCCATGTGTCTCGGTGTGTCATCAAGTGTCTCCTTGTCTCTTGGTGTATCCGCGTATGTTTCCGCGTGTGTCTCCGTGTGTCTGTGTTTCTGTATATATATCCACATCTCCCCGTATCTCCGTGTATCACCACGTATCCCCCCATCTGTCTCCGTGTGTCTCCACGTTTCTCCGTGTGTATGCGTGTGTCTCAGTGTGTATCCGTGTGTCCCTGTGTGTCTCTGCATGTTTCTGTGTCACTGTGTGTCTTTGTGTGTCTTGATGCATCCCCGTGTGTCTTGATGTGTCACCGTGTGTCCCCGTGTGTCCCCATGTGTCTCCCTGTGTCCTCCTGTGTCGCCATGTATCTGCACGTGTGTGTCTGCGTTTGTCCCCATGTGTTCCAGGTGTTGCCGTGAGGGCATCGAGCCGAAGGTGTCTCCGTGTGTCTATGTGTCTCTATGTGTCTCAGTGTCTCTGCATGTCTCTGTGTCCCCGTGTGTCTCCCTGTGTGTCCCCGTGTCTCCCAGGTGTGGACGTGAGGACATAGAACTGAAGGTGTCTGCATTCAGGAGGCTTCTGCTGAACAAGGAACTTGAAGCATCGCAACGGAGACAGTGAGATACCGGGACATAGACACAGGGATAAAGACATAGGGGCAGTGAGACACGGGCACATGGGCACACGGGGACACGGGAAGAGAGATACGGGGACACAGAGACACAGAGACACGGGGACAAGAAGACACAAGGAAATGGAGATGCGGGAAGACGGGGACACGGGGACAGGGAGACACTGGGACAGGGGGACATGGGGACATGGGTGACATGGGGACATAGACTCGGAGACACGGGGACATAGACATGGGCACAGTGAGCCACTGGGACATGAAGACACGGCGACACGGGGAGTCGTGGGTGTGTCTCTGTATGTATCTGCAGGGAGCGGTGGCACAGCGGTTAGCGCTGCAATGCACTACTTCGAACCCAGCAGAGATCTGAGTTCAATTCCTGCTCACAGCCACCACCACCAACACCACTCAGTGTTGGAAGCAGTGGTTATCTGAACCGGTCGGCCCTAGGCCTCCTCCCCTAGGTCGACTCAGCCTGAAATTAGTACCTGAAGCAATGTGTGTATTAAACATCAGTACTGGGGAGACAAAGGCGGCCGGGCGGGCGTGGTGGTGCTGACCACCCACCCACTCGTGTGCCACAGTGGCGGCCTTCATAGGACCTGCTACTCGCTACTGACAGCACTTCCCCCTAACAGCACTGTGTGGGCTACCTATTTAAAACTATTAAACTCCTTTTTATTTTACCAGGCAAGGCCCACTGAGCTATGTAGCTCTTTTTCAGAAGCGACCCGGCCACAAATGATAGCTCAAGGAAGTGGCTGATATCATCGTCACGTGGGAATTTATTGCAGCCAAATACTCTAAACATGTTACGTCGATCCTAAATGTGGAGGGAAAAACTGGAGGACCCAGATAAAAATCCATGCGGCCACCACGGTGATGCAGACTCCAAATACACAACAGCAGCAGGCATCGTCAGGGTCATGGGATTTAATCCACGACCTCCTGTATACCAGGAGAGGTAGATAGCATATCCACAGTGAGAGAGACGCAGACTCCAAATATATAACAGGCGTCATTAGGGTGACGGGATTGAACCCACGACTTCATGTATACCAGGCGAGGGAGTTGACATTTCCTAGCCACCATAGAGTTTAGAATATTTCTGCATCAGAATCTATGAACCTCCTGCATACCAGGCGGGGAAGAAGATGACAACCTGCTCACGGCCTTCGCTGCTATGTGCGAAAGCACAACGAATGTCATCACACAGACGGCCGAATGCCCGACAGAGGTATCCCGGCCTGAAAAGCAACAGCACAGAGAGCATTTCACAAGGTCATAGCAATGTGAATGTCGGCCCGTCACTGCTAATCATGCAGCTTATCATCCAGGGCCTCTCGAGTGCGAAATGAGATTACATCGCGAAGATTCTCAAGTTTCAAGACGTCCTTGCAATGGAATAAACACATTTGGATCGATAGTGTCCTCGATCAAAGATAATGGGATACACTCTCATTGCTGCAAGCCACCATCTGAAAACATGGCCTTGCAACATACTAAAGAACGACCTGAAGGACACGGTCTAGGTTGTGCCACACAGCTTGCCACACTACATCGCTATCAGTACAACGACGTGACAGTGGTCAATGTCTACAAGCCTCCAGGTATGGCATGGCCGTGTCCGGCATTACCACATCCAAGCCACCCTATCATCCACATAGGCGACTTCAACAGCCACCACACCTTGTGGGGCTATAGCGCCAACTATAGAGCTGGTGAACAACTGACATCATGGGCAGTGGCAGAAATCCAGCACTTGCTCTATGACGCAAAAGACCGTGGTATTTTCAAGTCGCCGAGGTGTAAAAAGTGCTATACGCTCAATTTATATTTTGGGTTTCGGGACCAGAATGGAAATCCGATCTCGTCGACGAGAACAATCCTAGACGACTTTTCAAATAGCCAACATAGACCTGTAGTGATTCATATCGGTCTTCAAATTCCGCTCTTCCGCTGCGCACTAAAACCTCGTTGGAATCTGAGATCTGCTGAATGGGTGAATTTAACTGGGGACTTGGAAGAACAGTTGGAATGATACCTCCATGCGCAGTCAACTACCGTCGCTTCGTTGGTCTCATCAAGGCAGTTGCCAAGACCAAGATCGCAAGAGGCTTCAGAAAGGTCTTCACTCCATCTCGGACTCCAGAAAGCGAACAGCTTTTCCGGAAATTAAATGCTCATAAGAAGCAGGAGACTCCAAAAGCCTTACTCGAGTAACTGTATTTGCAAAGAAGAGAAAGATGGCGTGAAACAGTTGCAGCACTTAAATCGAGCCGTAAGGCCTGGCGCCTCCTGAGGTTGATGGGAGCTGCCACAATGCCACCCCACAAACCTCCGCAAGTCAGTCCTGACGAGATTGCTAGGCAACTTATCAACAATTCACGACCTTCAATCGACAAAAGAATAAGACGGAAAGTCTACTAATAACTTTATTGCACAATAGATAACTGCCAATAAACCTCTGAATTCTCCCGTCCATTCTCAGTGTAGGAAGTAAATGCCAGTATTGCCCAGTTAAAATGCGGGAAATCCTCAGGTCTTGACGATATTTATCCAGAATTCATCAAGAACTTGGGACCAAGAGCAACACAATGGCTAGCTACATTATTAACTGACATCCATTCCACAAGCATTATTCCAAAGGAGTGGAAAGAGGCAAGGATAATAGCTATTTTGAAACCAGGCAAGGACACATCGGACGCTCAAAACTACTGCCCTATCTCTCTACTCAGCGTCTACAAACTAATGGAGTGGGTTCTGCTCAAAAGGCTGATGCCCACGCTTGAGGAAATAGTTCCCCAGGAACAAGCAGGATTTAGAACTGGTCGAAATTGTTGCGACCCGGTGCTTGCCTTAACAGGACACGTCGAAGCCGGTTTCGAGTGCCAGCTCAAAACAGCAACAGCTTTCATCGACCTCTCTTCAGTTTATGATACCATATGGTGGAAGGCACTTCTGCTAAGCTCGGGAGAGCTGTGGCTTGCCGCCCCACAATTAGACTAATCACCGAAATGCTGAGCAACCGATGGTTCACCGTCCATTTTGGTAAAGCTGACAGCAACCCACAAAGATTGAACAATGGACTCCCGCAGGGATTAGTTCTGACACCACTGCTGTTCAATCTCTATACTAACGACATTCCAGCAACATCTTGCCGTAAGTTCACATATGTGGATGATATTGCATTCACAACTCAAGCACAGAAAATGGGGGACACTGAGGCAGTCCTCGAAAAAGATCTGAAGACTCTGGAAGAATACTTCAAGAATTGGCGCCTTAAGCCAAACCCATCGAAGAGCATCGTCTCCGCCTTCCACCTGAACAACAGACAAGCTTCGAAAATGTTGAATATTAACTTCTGCGGAGCGAAGCTAAGGCATAATGAACACCCTCTGTATTTAGTAGTTACCCTGGATCGGACGCTTAACTACCATCACCACCTCAAACAAGCTAAAGGTAAAACGAAAGCACGAGTGAATATTATTCAGAAACGTGCAGGAACAACCTGGGGAAGCGATGCCAGCACGATGAAAGATATTGACGCAGGTCTTTGTTCACTCCACTGCGGAGGACTGTGGCCCGGTGAGGGTGCAAGCCCTCACACGAACATTGTTGATGCCGAAATTAACAACGCGCTTCGTATCATCAGCAGTTCCCTAAAGTCTACTCCACTCCCGTGGCTTCCTGTGCAGACGAATATAGCTTTGGCCAACATCCGACGCGATGATGCGACGACACGGGAGTACAACAAGGTAATGAAAACGTCAATCTGCCGCTCCATCAAGATCTAAAGGAACCCCGACGCACAAGGGTAAAATCCAGGAAACCGTTCTGGATACGCACCTCCACTCTAGCAGCCAAATATAAAGACACCACCACTCGGTGGTGTGAATCATGGGCGGCGATGGACGTGGCAAACACAAATCATAATTGACGATCCGATGCTGGAAGTACCGGGATTCTATCTTCCACAATGATTATGGACCACGCTGAACCGCGCTCGAACACAACTCAGCAGATGCGCGTACACGTTCCATAAATGGAACTGCGACTATGGAGAAGTCCAAACAATCAAACACATCACCGATGAATGCTCCATCCATGCACATCCTGGCGGTATCGCTGAAATCCACACTGCATCAACCACATCATTGGACTGGATGAGGAACCGTTGCATTCATTTATGACGATCATTAAGAAAAAATAAAAAAACTGTTGCTTTTCACAATGCCATACGAAAGAAGAATCCACAATAGCGTTTATAATATTTCTGCATCAGAATCTACGAACCTCCTGCATACCAGGCGAGGGACATAACATCTCCTGTGTCTGTGTGTCCCGCGTGCAGGGCTGAAGATGCCGTGCGGGCTTTGAGCAGGGGAGGGGAGGGGGAGGGACTAGAGGGGGAAGGGGAGGAGGGGGAGGAGAGGCAGAGCAGTGGGAGGGGGGTGGCGGTCGCCACGGAGATGCGGGGCCCCCCTTGTAATGGGGCCCAGGGCGAGCGGAGCGACCCAAGCGGCAGGAGACGGCACAGGAAGGGCGCCCGGAGGCGGCGGTGAGAGCCTCCCCCCACTTAGAAAAAGACCTGGACTGCCCCCCCACCACACACACCAACAACAACCGCCATTCGCCACTAAGTAGCGGTGACATCACCACGGCGCTTGTGCCAGGCCAGGAGCGCTTTAAGGCCAGGTGAAGTGTCGAAGGCTCGCTCGCAGGAGGTTATGGGACATACCCAGCAGGTGCCAGGGGTCGCCTGACTGAGATGACTGGCCGATGCACTACTTGTGCTCCCTACTGTGCCAACTTGCTGTGTTTAAGCCACCCGGTGCTCCGCTCGTTCTCGTGAGCATCGGTCCTCAGCCCTCTATTGTTGTTTCGAGGGCGACTGCCTCCAACTGCCCAGTAGCAGCATCCTTCACGAGCATCCTCTACAGAACCACACACCACCACACACCACTCACACACCACCACACACCACTCACACACCACACACACACACCATGCATGCACCACACACGCACACCACACACAAGAGAGCCATGCAGCGCTGCAAGGAAAAGTGGTGGTCGCGCGTTGCTGAGGAGATGGAGCCTGTCTCAGTAGCCCCCATCATAAATCACTCTTTAACTCCATCAAAAAAGTAACTTGCAGCACCACACTTATCACCATCATTAGAAGATAAGACATGTGATTCAATCTCCGACGCCCAGGAACAGGTTTGCAAATTTTCTGAGCATTTCTGTGAGCTCTTGAGGAGAGGAAATCCCTCAGCCTGGAAAACATCATGGAGCAAAGTGGGGATGACCCTGCTGAGGCTGCTGTGCCTGAAATATTGGAAGAAGTAGTCACACCCTGTGAGTGGCTGGCTAAAGCACCATCTGTTGAGGAAGTACGGAAGGTGATCCAGAGACTGAGACCAGGAAAAGTGCCAAGCAGAGATGATCTCCCAAGCGAGATGCTGAGGGATGGTGGCGTTTGTGAGCAGACTGCCCCATATGACATCAAAATAACAACCTGGACCACTGGATGGGTTCTGCAGGATTGGAAGGATGCACTGGCGGTCCCCCCTTTAAGAAGGGGAACCGTACAGACTTAAAAACTAAAGGGGCATCTCCCTTCTCAGTGTGCCGGGAAAGGTCCTGGCAAGGATTATTCAACATCGCTTTGCCAGGCATGCTGAGGAGAGGCCAGGGCGGTCCTGCACACACGCCATATTTTCTGTCTGTCTGCTCTGGGTTGTTCTTCGTGCTTTCAGATTCCCTGACTCTCTGCTCACAATCATTAAGGACCTTCATGATGGTGGGCAGGCCCGGGTAAAGCAACGTGGCCCTCCAAAACTAAGCACCTACCTGGGTATTTTGTACTACCAAATACTCCACCCCCTCAGCTCCCCATTGGTGATGGAGCGGTTGTGGAGAGAGTGGAGAGTTTCCCATACCTGGGCAGTGTGCTCATGACCGGCTCCGGTTTAACAGCAGAAGTCTCACTCTGAATCAGCCGAGCGGCATTATCTTTTTATCGGTTGCATAACGCTGTGTGGAAGATAACTCGTCTGTCGCTCTGCACGAAGCTTCAAGTCTTCTCAGCCACGGTCATTCCCTCCCTTCTCTACACTTGCGAAACGTAGACCCCCCTAATGGAGCATCTTCACCGGTTAGAAACATTTAGGCTGGCCTGCCTACGATCCATCCTGGGTTTAACCAGGCTGGATTGTGTGAAGACCTCACAAATCCTTGAAAGATCTGGGCAAAGTCCCATCGGTGAGCTCCTCCGGCGGGCAAGGCTGCATTGGCTGGGTCATGTAGCCCGCATGCCCAGCCACCGCATGCCTAAACAGCTTTTGGAGGAGGCTCGTGAAGGACGCTACTGGGCAGTTAGAGGCAGTCGCCATCCAATAACAACAACAGAGGGCGAAGGAGCAACGCTCACAACAACGAGTGGAGTGCCGGGTGGCTAAAGCACAGCAAGTTGGCACAGTAGGGGGCACAGGTGGTGCTTCGGCCACTCATCCCAGTCAGTCGACCCGTGGCACCTGGGTCTGCCCCGTGACCTCCTGTCAGCGGGGGTTCGACACTTCACGTGGCCTCAAGGTGCACATGGCCTGGCACAAGTGTCGTGGTGACGTCACCGTCACTTCATGGTGAATAGCGGTTGTTGTTGTGTGTCTTTGTGTGTCACTATGTCTGTGTGTCTGTGTGTAAATGTGTCTGTGTGTCTCTGTGTGTGCAGCTCCATAGGCAAGAAGAAGAGGAAGAGGAGTAGCAAAAAGAGAGACAAACGGCACCGAGAGAAGAGGTGAGAGAGTGGGGGAGAGATAGGGGGTGAGCGATGAGGAGACAAAGGGGGAAAGAGGGAGAGAAGGGGTGGGCAGATCTTGGGGGACAGAAAGGGGGTGAGAGATAGGGAGAGATAGGGGAAGAGAGAGCGGGGTGGGGGAGAGTGTGTGAGAGATACGCGGAGGAATAGTTGTTGGATAATGTAATCAGTTTTGAAGACAACTGCGTATACGTTATTATTAGAGCACGTCTGTCTGTGCTTGTTGTGGTTGTAGCGAGCGAGCGGAGGGTGGCGTGACATCACCTAAGGCTGGTGACCTCCACACGACCTCTGCACTCTCCAGGTGATTACCTCTGACCTCGGCCCAGCACAGAACCCCACAGTAGGAACCCCACGGGTGGCTAGGAGATGTTTACTACCTCGCCCTGTATGTAGGAAGTTGTGGGTTCTGATTCTAAAATACTCTAAACACCACGGGTGGCTAGGAGATGTTAACTACCTCGCCTGGGATTCAGGAGGTCGTGGGTTCGATCCCGACCCTGACGCCTGCTGTATATTTGGAGTTGCGTCTCTCACTTTCCCCATGGTGGTAGCGTGGATTTTTCTCTGCATCCTCCGGATGTTCCTCTCCACGTTTAAAATCAATGTCACGCATTGATTATATCGTTGTAAGGTCCACTGAGCTATGTAGCTCTTTTTAGGAAGCGACCTGGCCACCACAAGTGATGGCAGCTCAACCAAGTGGCTGATATCATCATCATCGCGTCGACACTTATAGCGACAGCAAATACTCTAAACGCATGATGTCGATTCTAAATGTGGAGGTAAAAACCTGAGGACCTTGAGGAGAAAAACCACACGACTAAGGGGAGAGCATGCAAACTCCAAATATACAGCAGGCGCCAGGGTCAGAATTAGAGGCTGTCCGAAATTCAGTTTCAGTTTCGGTGCCGAAAGTTGGCAAATGGCCTCTTTCGGCATACTTTTGGTTTCGGCTGAAAGTAAATTTTTTACTTTCGGTCTGGTTTCGGTTTCAGCCGAAACTGATATTGACTTTTGGCCGTCATTCGTCAACCGAAGATCTATTTTTAGAATATAACGCTAGTGCTACGTCTATCACTCGGCCTATCGGCAGAGTGATAGACGTAGGCAATCCTATGCGATAGGCTGCAAACACACACACACACGTCAGCAGCAGCAGCTTGGGAGCGAGGTTACAGCCACAACCATGGTCTGCTAATGTATATACGGCCGGTCAACAGACGGTAGCCTGTCTGGCTGAATGCGGAAAAACTGTTGTTTCTTATCTACAACATTCGTTTGTTTGGATATAATTACCAAGTAAGTAACACCTAATCACTTGATATTTAGCGACACTTACTGCAGGCTCTGAATGATTAATTAAAGTAGCATTGCATCATGACATATTTAATAAATCTTGTGTTCGATAACTTCGGTTATATACCTTTCTGTTTCGGTTTTGGCTTCGGTTTCAGCCGAAAGACATTTTTTTACTTTCGGTCTGGTTTCGGTTTTGGCCGAAACCAGAAAATCAGTTTCAGTCGGCCTCTGGTCAGAAGTGACCTGGCTATTGCAAATGATAGCTTAACGAAGTAGATTATAACATGGGAGACATTTCTTGCCAGTATAAAAGTATAACAAAAATAAGAATAGGTTTTACCCTTTCTGGCAATAAATCAGGAGTTGTTAAGACTTTCAAACACCAAATAGAAACCTTTTGCAAGGAATCATATCGGCGTTAATCACACGCGGCTCTTGTGCATATTCAAACAAACTTGCTCTGGTGATATATGATGCGTTCTCTTTGAAACTCATTGAGCTACACCATAGACATAAGCCTTATTTAGGGTCTTGTCTCACTACCAGTATCAGACCAGAGAAGAACGCCAAAAGGGGAACAGTGTAGATTATCTCATGGACATTTGAACCTTATGGTGGGACCCCGGGGTTCCGAATAAATGGAAGTCAAAATCGTAATTAATTTATTTGTGGCGACTCCGTCCCACCATGCACATAAACGCTGTGACCCACCTGGCGTGGATAATTCTGTTGTCACGTCGTCCAAGCGCAGCGAGGATGAATGCGCAGTAGAAACAAAACTTTGAAACTTTGATTAGCGCATCGTGTAGAGAGGAATATATTGCCGTATCGTCTGCCTTCAATAGACATAAAATGGCGTCGCAACGCAGTTTATGCCAGAGCCGGGGGCTTATGGGACCCCGGGGTGCCACCATGTAGTTCATTTATTGCAGCAAAATAATCTAGGCTGCCAGTAGGGGATAATGATTGCTGCAGTGTGGTCAATGCCTAGGGGCACCCGTCAGTGGCACCCACCTGCTCACTCACCCACACACTAGCCTGCCCACCCGCTCACTCACCCACCTGCTCACTCATCCACCTGTTTGCTCACCCACCTGCTCACGCGCCCACTCGCTCACCCATCCACTCACCCACCTACCCGTTCAGCTGCTCACCCACCTACCCGTTCAGCTGCTCACCCATCCGTTCATCCACCCAACTGCTCACCCTCCCACCCAGCCAATCTCCCACTTATCCACCCATCTGCTCACCCACCCACTCACCCACCTATCCAATCAACTGCTCACCCACCCACTCATCCACTCACCCACTCACCCATCTACCTGTTCAGCAGCTCACCCACCCACCGGCTCACCCACCCACCCAACCACTCACCCATCCACCAAATCTCCCACATATATCCTCCTGCTCACCCACCCACTCACCCACCTATCCAATCAACTGCTCACCCACCCACTCATCCACTCACCCACTCACCCATCTACCTGTTCAGCAGCTCACCCACCCACCGGCTCACCCACCCACCCAACCACTCACCCATCCACAAAATCTCCCACATATATCCTCCTGCTCACCCACCCACTCACCCACCTACCAATGCAACTGCTCACCCACCCATTCAACTACCCACCTACCTGTTAAGCTACTCATTCACCCACCCACCCACCTGCTCACTTACCCGCCCACCCGCTCACCCACCTGCCTGCTCACCCAATCAAAACTCTCACCCAACCATTCACCAACTACCCATTCAGCAGCTCACCCGCCCACCAGCTTACCCACCCACTCATCCACCTACCCGTTCACCTGCTCACTCACCCACCCACCTGCTCCCTCACCTACTCACCCGCCCGCTCACTCACCTAACATCCCACCCAACCACTCACTAACTACCCGTTCAGCAGCCCACCCGCTCACCGGCTCACCCACCCAACCGATCAACCACCCACCCACCCAATCTGCCACTCATCCACCCACCTGCTAACTCACCTACCCGCCCTCTCACACAACCACTCACCAACTACCCATTAAAATCCCCCCCACCCCCCAACCAGGCGCGAAGATGCCACTGGGTCGCTTGACCAGCCGCGGAGTGAGTCACATGACCAGCCGGGTCAATGGGAGAGTGGTGCAGCAACGGCGGTGGTAGCCACTGCCCCCACCTCGTCGGTGGCCCCTGCCCCACCGGGCCGGGCTCACAATGGCCGGCTCGCCACGCCGCGTGTAAGTAGCGGGTGAGCGAGCGGGTGAGCGAGCAGGTGGGTAGGTGAGTTGGGCGAGTGAGCGGGTCGGTGGGTGGGTGAGTGGGTGGGTGGGTGAGTTGACGGGTGGGCAGATGGGTGGGTAGGTTGGCGAATGAGCTAAACTCAGCCTGTTCTGGGAATATTTATGTGCATAAACCACAGCAGCAGCAGCAGTAATCATTGCCCACTACTGGTAGCGGACTAATGCACAGGGACAGCTGCCACTGGGGGTGCCTTTACGGATCGACCACAGCAGCAGTAATCATCGCCCCCTATTGGTAGTGGACTAATGCACAGGGACAGCTGCCACTGGGGGTGCCTTTACGCATCGACCACAGCAGCAGTAATCATCGCCCCCTACTGGTAGTGGACTAATGCACAGGGACAGCTGCCACTGGGGGTGCCTCTACGCATAGACCACACAGCAGCAGTAATCATCGCCTACTACTGGCAGCAGACGAATGCACAGGGACAGCTGCTACTGGGAGTACATCTACACATAGACCACATAGCAGCAGCAGTAATCATCGCCCCCTACTGGTAGCGGACTAACACACAGGGACAGCTGCCAATGGGGGTGCCCCTAGGCCAGGTTGTGGTCGTATGGAACGCGCCGCCGTGTTCTCTGTGTGTGTGCGACGCTAACACCCCAATTGTTGTCCCACCACTCCCTGTTTTCCACTCTCACCTTAAAAAGGAGGGAATGCTGCATTGTGGGTAAGTGGCGGCCTGTGTGCAGGACCAGCCCAGGCGCTGCCTAACCGCCCTCCCCCTCCTCCCCCTCCACCCCCCTTCCCCCCTCCCCCCTCCCTCCACCACCAATCGCATCAACCGCTCCCTTCACACAACGATCACCGCCACAACAACAACAACAACCACCACAAGACAACCACACACACAGCCACTGGAACTACCACAACAACACAGAGCCACTAGACCCACCAACGACCACAACCACAATAAGCACAAAAACACACAGCCCTGGCCACTAAACCTACAAACCATCACCAACAACCACAAACACACACAACCGCCACCACAACCACACAGCCCCGGCCACTAAACCAACAAACCACCACAAACACTAGACCCACCAACAACCACAACCACCACAACTATAACCACCACAACCACACACAGCCCGGCCACTAAACCCACCAACCACCACAACCACACACAGCCCTGGCCACTAGACCCACCAACCACCCCACCACTACCACACACAGCCCTAGCCACTAGAGCCACCAACCACCACAACCACTACCACACACAGCCCTGGCCACTAGACCCACCATCCACCACAACCACACACAGCCCTAGCCACTAGACCCACCATCCACCCCACCACTGCCACACACAGCCCTAGCCACTAGACCCACCAACCACCACAATCACACACAGCCCGAGCCACTAGACCCACCAACCACCACAACCACTACCACACACAGCCCTGGCCACTTGACCCACTAAAACCTCGACCACCAACAACCACAACCACACACAACCACCCCAACAACCACACACAGCCCCCGCCACTAAACCCACAAAGCACCACAATCACAAAAAACCACCAGCCACCATCACCACCACAGATGCAACCATACTACAGCCCCGGCCACTCGACCCACTAACCACCACAATCGCAAACCACACACGTCTGTGTGGGTGTGTGCGTTTGTGATTCACTTTGGCCTCAAGGTGCACCTAGCCTGGCACTAGCACTGTATGGTGACTTTACCGCCACTTTAGTGATGAATGGCGGTTGTTATTGTGTTGGTGATGGCGGGATTCTGAGAGATGTATGTGTGTGGAGGTGGTTGTGGAGGTGTGTGTGGGAATGTGTGTGTGTGGAGGTGGTTGTGGTGGGGAGCGGTGGTGTAGTGGTTAGCGCTATGCTGCCCTACGAACTCGGCGACCGGAGTTCGATTCCCGTTAACGGCCAAAACCAGTGACGATTATCTGAACCGGTCCTGGGCCTTCCCTAGGTCGACTCAGCCTCAAATTACTACCTGGTGTGTAAACATCGCCATTAGGGAGACAATGGCGGCCGGGCGTAGTGGTGGCCACCCATCCCCAACATGTGTTGTGCCAGCCTTCATAGGTGCTCGATAACAGCACTTGCCCCTACAGTCTGTTAAGGGTATATGGGGATCTTTGTCTTTGTGTGGGATTCTGAGTCTGCGTGTAGGAATATGAGTGAATGTGTGTGTGTGTATGTGGGGAGCGGTAGTGAAACAGTAAGCACACTGTGCTATGAACCCGGTGACCCGACTTCGATTCCCACTCACGGCCAACACCAGTGATGATTATCTGAACCGGTCGGGCCTGGGCCTCCCCTAGGTAGACTCAGCCTCACATGAGTACCTGGTGCGGTGTGTGAACATCGCCACTAGGGAGACACAGGTGGCTGAGCGTGGTGCTGGCCACCTAGCCCCTCGTGTGCTGTGCCGGTCTTCATTGGTATTGCTCGCTAACGGCACTTGCCCCAACGGTCTGTTAAGGCTATATGGCAGATGTATGTCTATGCGTGTGTGTGGGAATGTTTGGTTGTGCCAGAGGCCCCGGGGGGACAGGCATCAATGACCCCATTTGGCAGAGCCAGGAAACTAAATCCGCACCCATAGGGGTGCCTCCAGAAAGGGCAAAAAAAGTCACTGCGGGTGGCCACGTGGAATGTTTGAACGCTCACTGCAGGGGAGAGGCTATCACTCCTCTGTCGGGAGCCGGACCGGTACCACCTGGATCTCCATAAAATACAGGAGGTCCGGTAGACTGGTTCTGGCTCCAGTCACCATGAGGAGTTGACAGTCCTCTACTCGGGGCAGAAGGCTGCCAAACAACAGGGAGTGGCTCTTCTTCTGAACAAAATAATTATGAGGACGTGGGAGCATGTCGGTGATGCGTGGGATGCTGTCAGTCCCAGTCTACTTTGGTGGTAGTTGCTTATGCCCCCACCGAAGATGAACATCAGTGGAGGGATGCAGGCAAGGCCGATGAGTTAGCTACCTTCTATGACCTCCTGTCACAGGTGCTAGCTAAAGTGGCTCCTCGGGATAGAGTCATCCTATTGGGTGACTTTAAAACCCGAGTAGGACATGATGCTGGCATTTGGGCTGGAGTGATTTGAAGGCATGGGCCAGATCAACTCAATAACAAGGTAGGACGCTGCTCGGCCTCTGTGCCGCAAATGGGCTTGTAATCACTAACATGCTGTTTCAGCATCAGCGCATCCACACAACATCATGGATGCAAGTCGGGTCCAAGCAACAACATCTGCTGAACTACTTAGTGACAGAATAGCGAAGTTGGGCCCATGTCCCTGTTAGCAAGACCGTCCATAAAGCTGATCTGTCCACTGATCATCGGCTTGTCATCTGTAAGATGCGTCTGCTATTCTTCTACTCCGGTGGTGGGTGTCCATCTAGAACCCCATTCAAACCCACAGTGGCCTGCTCTCGGCTAGCTGAGGATATTTGCAAGCAGAAATAACAAAAATCGCTTGCAGCTCGGGTTGGCACTCCCCCCCACTAACACCACATGATGTTGAGGGGGGAAATGGATGAGGTTCAGGACTTCCACTGTGGTGGTGAAAATTGTGCACTGGTTTTGGCAACGTCCCTCCCTCCGTATGTAGCCAACCATGCACATCGGAGGTATGGGATATGCGGTGCCGTTCGGGACTTTGGCTTTTGTAGTTGCCACAGCTACATTGGGTACACAGTCCAGACCTCCCCCGGGGAATGTGGCAGGCCCACTCCCACACCATCTGAAGCATTCCACGTTGGAGAATGAGGAGGTTCAGCGCATTGGCGAGCCGCGTGGCGTAGCAGGGATGAGTGACGATGGCAAATGCTGTGATGGAGATTGCCTCAGTAGCTTACGATGAAAATAATCGCTCCTTAACTCTATCAAGAAAGTAGCTTGCAGCACCTTGCCTGTCGCCATCCTTAAGGGAAAGAACGGTGATCCGATCTCAAACCCCGCCCAACCCCCCAAGAATAGGTCTGCAAGGTTTACTGAGCATTTCTGAGGTCTTGCGGGAGGGTAAATACATCAGCTCAATTGGCACCGTGGAGCATTGTGGGGGATGATCCTGCTGGGCTGCTTTGCCTCATATATTATAGGAAGTAGCCAACCCCCTGTGAGTGGCTGGCTGAGGGGCCATCTGTAGAGGATGTACGAGGGGGCGATCCGGTGAGTCTGAGGCCAGGAAAAAGTGCTGGGCAGAAACGTTAAATGATCTCCCAAGCGAAAATGCTGAGTGAGGGAGGGTGGTGTCTGTGTGCAGACTGCCTCTATTTGACATCATCACAACTCTCTGGACTACAGGGATTGGAAGGATGTCCTGGTAGTGAGTGTCTAAGTGAATGTCTAAGTGAGTGAGTGTCTAAGTGTCTAAGCCAGTGTCTAGGTGAGTGTCTAAGCAAGTGAGTGTCTAAGTGAGTGAGTGTCAAAGTGAGTAGGAGTGTAGGCGAGTGTATACGTGAGTGTCTAAGTAGATGTCTAAGCGAGTACTTAAGTGAGTGAGTGTCTAAGTGAGTATCTAAGTGAGCTTCTGAATAAGCGTCTAAGCGAGTATCTAAGTGGTTGAGTGTCTAAGTGAGTAAGTGTGAGTGTCTAAGCGAGTGTCTAAGTGAGCATCTAAATGAGTGTCTAAGCGAGTGAGTGTCTCAGTAAGTGAGTGTGTAAGCGAGTGTTTCAGTGAGTGAGTGTCTAAGTGAGTAAGTATGCGAGTGTCTAAGCAAGTCTGAGTGTCTAAAGGAGTATCTAAGTGAGTGAGTGTCAAAGTGAGTGAGTGTGTAAGTGTCTAAGGCAATGAGCGTCTTTGTCAGCATCTGTGCGCGGGTGCCGTCTGTCCGGGAGCCCAGGCGGACAATCGTGGACGCGACCTTCGACCCCCACCCCCTCCCCCCACCCCCAGCTTGCAAGAGGTCAAAACTTGACTCCTCACCCCGCTCGCCCGTGTTCCCCCCCCTTCTCCCAAATCCCTCCCCCCGATCCACCCATCCCCCCTCCCCTCCCTACCCCCCAATCCCCTTCTCCCATAGGGGTCCCAGCTGGAGCCATTGAGAGTGGTTGGGAACCAGCAGGGATTGACGCTGGGGGGTGGGGCTGAGGGTGAGGGGGGTGAGGAAGGGGAGGGGCCGGACCCCCACCCCACGGACCTTGTCCCCTCGGACCCCGCGGCCGCCGTGAGCCCAGCAGGTGGAGGGACCCTGGCCGGGATTGTCAACCGGTGAGATCATCATCATTATTGGCAATGGTGGCGTAATCATTATTAGTGTCATCAGCAGCATCATCATCAGCAACGTTATAATTGTTAGTGTCATCATCAGTGGCAGCATCATCATCATTATTCGTGTCATCAGAATCATCATTAGAAGTGTCATCAGCGGCATCATCATCATCAGTGTCATCAGCAGCGACATCATCATCGGCTTCATCATAAGAATCATCATCAGTGGTGTTTTCATTAATAATTTCATTATCAGTGGAATCATCATCCGTGCCAACATCGGCGGCATCATCATCGGCGGCATCATAATCATTATTAGTGTCATCATCAGCGGCAGCAGTATCATAATCATTAATCGTGTCATCAGGATCATTATCATCATCAGTGCCATCAGCAGCGACATCATCATCACCATCACCAGCAGAATCATCATTATCAATGGTGTTTTCATGAGTAATTTCATTATCAGCAGAATCATCAGCGGCATCATCATTATTAGTTTCGCCATCAGCAGCATCATTATTAGTGTCAACATCAGCAGCATCACCATCATCAGTGTCAATATCGGTGGCATCATCATCATCTGCATCATTGGCGACATCATCATTATAATTGTCATTATCAGCAGCATCATCAGCAGCAGCAACGCAATCATTATCAGCGGCATCATCATGGGTGGCATCAGTGTCATCACCATCATCAGTGACGGCATCATCACCAGCATCATTATCAGCAGCAGAACAATAAATTCCTGGGTTCAACTCCAGACTCACTCCCAATGAACAACAACCGCCATTTGCCACTGAGTGGCGGTAACATCACCACGGCGCTTGTGCCAGGTTATGTACACTTTAAGGCCACGTGAAGTGTTGAAATCCTGCTGGCAGGTCACGGGACAAACCTAGGTGCCATGGATTGACTGACTGAGATGACCGTCAGATGCACCACCTGTGCCCCCGACTGTGCCAACTTGCTGTGTGTTAGCCACCCAGCACTCCGTTGTTGCTGGAGTATGACTGCCTCCAACTGCCCAGTAGCGTTCTTCACGAGCCTCCTCCACAGAGGCCGATCTTGACACCGCTGGTACCAGTAATTGGCACGTCCAGTCAGCTCTACATCTTCTCGTGCCACATCATTCCATCTCTTCTCTAGCCCATGCCACACCCGGTTTAGCCCCCTATATGTGGCCGAACAATATCTGTGTGGGCATGCATTAGCTGGGCAAGCGGGCTACATAACCCAGCCACCGCAGCCTTGCTTGCCAGGGGAGCTCACCAATGAGACTATTTACAGATATTTCGAGGATTTGTAAGCTGCTCACACAATCCAAGCTGGTTAAATTCAGGATGGATCGTAGGCTGTGGCGTGTGGCGATGTCGCTAGGTTTGTGACGCTGTAGCATGTGTGACTCTGTAGCGTGTGTGATGCTGTCTCTAGGATTGTGTGACACTTTAGTGCGTGTGACGCGGTAGTGCATGTGACGCTCGTAATGATGTAGCACGTGTGACGCTGTAGCGCATGTAACGCTGATGTGCACGTGATGTTGTAGCATGTGTGACGCTGTGCATGTGATGCTGCTGCAAGTGTGACGCTGTAGCGCGTGTGACGCTGTGCATGTGTGCCGCTGTCTCTAGGGTTGTGTGACGCTGTTGACACTGTAGTGCACGTGATGCTGTAGTGCGTGAAATTCTGTAGAGCGTTTGATGCTGGTGACGCTGGATTGCATGTGTGCTGCTGTTCATGTGACGCTGTAGTGAGTGTGACACTGTAATGCGTGTGATACTGTAGTGCGTGTGATGCTGGTGATGCTGTAGTGCGTGTGTGCCGCTATCTTTAGGGTTGTGCCACGGGGCTCCACTCCCCCGCGGGGCAGGGGCAGCCGTCGCAAGCGGCGCCGTGCATCCCAGCGGGGGTCCCAGCAGCGGTCCCAGTGGGGGTCCCAACGGGGCTCTCAGCGGGGTTCCCAGCAGGGATACCAACGGGGGTCTCACCAGGGATCCCAGCGAGCCTCCCGGCCTGGTGGCTCCCGCTCTGTCTCGGGCTCCCGATCCGGCTCCGGGTCACGCTTTAGCTCCGGCTCCCGGTCAGGCTCTGGCTCTCGCTCCCGCTCATCTCCCCCGGCGCGGAATATCGCGCGGGAATCGCGGGAGAGCCGCACGCGTAGCCGGAGCCGGAGTCGAAACCGGAGCAGGAGTCGGACCCGGAGCCGGAGTCGGAACCGGAGCCGAAGCCAGAGCCGGGCACGCTCTCCCACAACGACGAATGCCAGCAAAACGAGGTGCGGGGAACTCTCCGATCGGTCGTTGGTGACTATGGCAGTGGTGGTGGGGCTTGTGTGTGTGGTGGTGGGGGTAGGTGTGATGTACCATTGTAAATTCATTGCAAGGCACCTTGATTTAAGGTGCTATCTGAATTCAATTAAGAAGATCACATCCCTCCGTTTCCCCCTGCCCGCCTTGTGTTCTTTCCATGTTTGTATTTCGACCTCCCGAATCCTCTTCATAAATCCCCCCCTCCCCCTCCGTCTAACCTATAATCCCCTCTCGAAATTCAGGCCACGTTAAGCTCCAACTTTGTTTTGAACTTCCCGATTGCCCATGGTGTCACGCATGCCATGTCCACAACGTTGGCTGAGCATCGTCGTCGTTGATGGTGGTGGTGCAATCCTCTGCATCTAATGTCCTCTCCCCTCCTGGTCCCACAGGTCGCCCTCCTCCCCCGGCCGAAGGAGTTCAACGCGACGGGACCCAGCCCCTCGCGCAGGGGCACCCTATAATAGGTACCCTGACACACCTCTGACCCCCTGCCCCCCTCTGACTCCCTGCCCTCGGACCCCCTGCCCCCTCTGACCCCCTCTACCCCCTCCCCCCTGACCCCTTAACCTCTCCATGCGTCCCCCCCCCACGTGTGACCCCCCCCCCCATGTGTGACCCCCCTTGTGTTACTCTCTATGTAACCCCCCCATGTGACAACTACCCATCACCCCGTGTAACCTCCCCCCACCCCACCCCAGGCAGCAAGGTGGTGACCGCGAGCGACAGCAGCAGCCACCGCCGCCACAGCCACAGCCGGGCGGGGAGCGCCACCGGCGCCAGAGGAGGGGAGGCAGCTTCTCACCACTCCGCAAGCGGCGCAGAGACTCCCCTAGCCACCTGGAGCCCCGCAGGATCACCAGGTGCAGCTCGCTACGCTACACTATACACTACACTACTACATACTACACTATGCAGTACACAAAATACTACTACTCTACACTACACACTACCATACACTACACTATATACTACACTATTATACACTAACTATATACTACACTACAACACGCTATATACGACACTACTAAAAACTATAGACTACACTACTATACACTACACTCTACAGTACACAACTAAACACTTTTTTACACTACACTATACATATTCTTTGGGTATTTTGGTAACGTCACGTAGATGGTTCAAAGAAAATAACAAAAAACTACGACGTTCCGATCACAACACAAGCGACCATCATCAGGAGGAAAGAGGTGGAAAGCTGCTGAATGCAGACTGTTTTATAGGGTTTAGTTCTAGGTTCATAAACGAAGTGGGCAGGGCTAGTGATGTTAATATGAAAAATGTGCATGCTAATGTAAGATCAGAGAGCGGCATCCGCGACGAGTGTGTGGGTGGCTATGTTAATGTGAGATCGCAGAGCCACTGCGACGTAGAGGTCGGCGTCCATAGGTGGCCACGTTGGCACAAGAAATTCAACATGTTAATGTGAAATTGGAGAGCCGAAGCCACGGGAAAAAAGAAAAAAATACATCGGAAGGTGGCAGAAAGGGAACATCACAGCCTTCCAATGAATGCTAAGTTTGTACCAATCTTCTCGGTTGAAATTGTGTCTCTGTCTGTATATATGGATGGCTTCTTGAACGAATCTTTATTGATAACCAGTGGGTTTGCAAAGTACCTTCGTCTTAGAGAAATCATTTCGTGTGAGCCCACCGCATTAAAACAATGATCATCCACTGCCGAGGTATTGGTCCTACAGTGTTTCAGATCTGCCTTATATTCACGAACACGGTCCAATACATGTCGCTTAGTTAGTGTATAGTATACACTATTCACCACACTACTATACACTACACTAATATACACTACTATCACTATATACTACTATAAACTACACTACTGTACGCTACACTACTACACCAATACCAATATATGCCATTTGCCACTAAGTGACGGTGACGTCACCACGGCGCTTGTGCCAGGTCAGGTGCACCTTGAGGCCAGCTGAAGTGTCAAAGGCTCGCTGACAGGAGGTTACAGGATAGGCCCTTGCAGGTACCATGGTTGGCTACCTGAGATGACTGGCAGATGCACTAGATGTACCCTTTATTATACCAACTTGCTGTTTTTTAGCTGCCCGATCATTGTTGTGAGCATTGCTCCTCTGCCCTCCGTTATTGCTGAAGGGTGACTGCCTACAACTACCCAATAGCATCCTTCACGAGCCTCCTCTACAGAGGCCGATCTTGACACTGCTGGTACCAGTTATTGGCAAGTCCACTCAGCTCCATATCCTCTCTTGCCACATCACTCCATCTCTTCTCTAGCTCGCGCCATGCCCTAGCCCCCTCTATCAGGGTGGACAAAATCTGTTTTAGCATGTGGTGGCTGGGTATGCAGGCTATGTGACCCAGCCAACGCAGCCTTCCATGCCAGAGGAGCTCGCTGATGGTACTGTGTCCAGATCTTTCAAATATTTGTGAGCTCCTCACACAATCCAGCCAGGTTAAACCCAGGATAGATCGCAGACAGGCCAGCCTAAATTATTCTAATCTGCGAAGATGTTCCATTCGGGTGGTCTACATTTCGCAAGCATAGTTTTGGAGGGGCTGATGGTAAGGCCCACCTCTTAGCAGTGCCTCCAACTCCTTCTTTGAGTGAACAGCAATCACCAGATCATCAACATACATAACACGGTTGACCAATAGAGAGCCATCCCCTCGACCGCACCTGGGTATTGATCATCCTCCCATTGTGCCTGTACCAGATGGAGATTCCTCCATTACAGCCATGCAAAGCTTCTCGAACTACGTGGTTGAAAAATATGTTAAATAATGTAGGCACCAGAGGACATCCCTGTTGCACCCCAAGGTGAACAGGGAATGGCTCTGACTCCTGGCCACGTAATTTACCCGGGCTTCTTCACCTTCATGAAGGTCCTTAATGATTCTTAGCAGAGAGTCAGGGACTCCAAAAGCACGAAAAACGTACCCAGAGCCTATGCCTATTGATGGTATCATAGGCCTTGACCAGGTCAATAAAGCAGAGATGTAGGTCATATTGGAATTCCCTATATCTCTGCTGTAGCAGACTGACAAAAAATATGGCATATGTACAGGACCGCCCTGGCCTGAAACCACATTGGGGCTAAGCAAGCTTCTCCTCAGCTTGCTTGGAAAGCGATAACTGAATAATGCTTGCCTAGGATCTTTCCCTGTCACACTGAGAAGAGAGATGCCCTCAGGGCATCCTTTCAATTGCAGAATTCGTTCAGTGGTCCACACTGTTATTATCATGTCATATAGGGCAGCCTGCACACAAAAAAACATCCTTTCTCAGCAGTTTGCTTGGGAGATCATCTCTGTCTGGAGTTTTTCCTGGTATCAGACTCTGGATTGCCTTCTGTACTTCCACACCAAATGGCACTTCAGCCAGCCACTCACATGAAGTGACTACTTCTACCAATATTTGAGGCATGGCCGCTGCAAAAGGGTCATCCCCACTTTGCCCCATGATTTTTTCTGTGCTGAGGGATTTCCCTTCCCCCAAGGCCTCACAGGATTGTTCAGCAAATCTGCAAACCCGGTTCCTGGGGGTCGCTGATCAGATCACCTTTCTTTCCCCGTAGAATTGTGATAGGTGTTACACTGCAAGTTACTTTTTAATGGTATATAAGAGTTATTTGTGATCACGGGCTACTGATGCAGACTCCATATCCTCAGCAAATTGTGACCACCACTTATCCTTGCAGCACCGCACAGCTTTCCAAACCTCCGAGCAAAGGCTGCGGTAAGCCTCCTCATTTTATGACGTGAGATGCTATAGACGGTGGGAGTGGGTCTGTCAGTTTTTGTCAGCTTCCTAGAATACCTTTTCTGTCAGCCAAGGTTTTAACTGGGTAGGTTTAGACAGCACATGCAAAGTAGCCAATGCAGCTGCAAACCTCACCCATTTCCCCTCAGTATCAGGAGCAGTGGGGGACGATGCCCACCCCAGCTGCAAGCAATGATTAAATTCTCACTTGCAACTTTGATCAGCTGGCTGAGACCAAGCCACTGTGGGCTTGAATGGGGTCATAGATGGACACCCACCACTGGAGTGGAAGAATGGCAGACACATCTTACAGATGACAAACCGATGGTCAGTGGGAAGATCCGCTCTACGGTAGGTCCTGGTGTCAATGACATGAGTCATCATCCAATGTTCTGTCACTATATAGTCCAACAGATGTTCTTGCTTGAACCCCGCATGCATCCATGATGTTGTGTGGATGCACCGATTCCAGAACAGCGTGTTGGTAATTACAAGCCCATGCAAGTCTAGCAGCATCCTACGGTTTTTATGAGCTGATCTGCCTTCAACTCACTCGACTCCAAATGCCAGCATCATGACCCACTCTGGCATTAAAGTCACCCAACAGGATTATTCTATCAAGAGGGGGCGCTTTAGCTAGCGTCTGACTCATAAGCTTTGCCTGCTGCACTCCACTGATGTTCATTTTGCGTGGTGCCATAAGTAACCACCACTACGACTCGTCACCTCCGGTTGATGAGGAGGCAAACCCACAGTAGCCTCGGGCTTACAGCTTCCTATACCTCATCACCAGACTCCCACATCCACTTCATTATTTTGTTCAGAAGGATAGCCACTCCCTGTTTCTTAGCAGTCTCCAGCTCAGAGTCGAAGACTGTCCACCCCTCATGGTGATTGGAGCCAGATCCAGTCCACCAGATCCCCTGAATGCCGCAGAGATCCAGGTGCTATCGGTCCAGCTGCCAATAGAGGAGTGGCAGCCTCACCTCCGCAGTGAGGGTTCGAACATTCCACGTGGCCACTCCCCAGTGGCTTTTTGCCGTTTGTGGAGGTACCCCAAGGGTGCTGGGTCCAGTCTCCTGGCTCCGCCAAATGAGGTGTGTCCAGGAGACGTCAAAGACGCCTGTCCCCCTGGGGCCTCCAGCACAAACTTAGTTTGATTTTTTTGCACGTGTCTTCACGGTGGTTAAATTGATAAGTGGAAGGGTTAGCAGCCCCTTGCACCTGTCCAGAGCTCCCAATGGCCACTGTGGTGGCTATGAGTGCCATGAGGGGTATAGCCAATTGGAATTGGCCTTTCCCTCACCCCAGGCATTGCTCACTAGTGTTACCATCCGGCACCACTGAGGAGAACACTCACCCCCCATTCACCCACCAACTCCCTCACACCCCCACACACTTACCTACCCACTCATTCACACACTCACACACACTCACAATCACTCACCCCTTCTCTGTTCTTTCCCGCTTGAACCAGTGCCCGCAAGCGACCGGTCCCCTACTACCGCCCAAGTCCTCCCAGCACCTCCTCATCCTCCTCATCGTCCTCCTCATCTCCCTCTTCCTCAACCTCGTCACGGAGGAGTGGTCGGCACGGCAACCGCAGCAGGAGCAGCAGCAGCGGCAGCCGTGGCAACCGCAGCGGCAGTAGCAGCCAAACCCCGGCACGGAACACCCGCCGCAAAGCCCGGCAGCGCCGCCACCACCACCGGGGAGAGCATAGCAGCAGTAGGGGTGGAAGCAGCGGTAGCAGTAGCAGGGGGAGCAGCAGGGGCAGTAGCAGGGGCAGCAGTATCAGCAGCAGGAGGAGGAGGAGCAGCCTGACGTCGAGAAGCGAGTGGAGCGGAACTACTAAGTCGTGGAGCCGGAGCCGCGACCGGAGCCGGAGCCGGATCCGGACCAGCAGCCGGGAGTCCTACAACAGCAGCGGGAGTGGCATAGGTGGCCGCAGCTGGAGCCGGCCGAGGAGCCGGAGCGGTGGGAGCGACGGAGGGGTTGGGAAAACCCGGGCTGGAGCCAGGAAGCGCCGACCCGGAGCAGCCAAATCAAAACGGCGCCCTGGGTCAGGGGCAGGTCGAGGACGTAAAAACCGGGCTGGATCGAGCCCCAGCGCGAGCCCTGGCCTAAGTCGGAGCCGGAGCCGTAGCAGCAGGCGAGGGTCCCGGTCTGGAGCGACCGGAACGCGCAGTAGGAGCGGAAGCCTGGCCGGCGGTGTCGGTGGCAGTGGTGGCGGTGGTGGCAGAGGAAAGACCCGGGCCGGAGCCAGAAGGAGCAGCCGGAGCTGGAGCTGGGAGTCGGAGGGCAGTGCCACTGCCGGCGAGGCTCAGCCCCGGCCTGGAAACGAGCGGTTGCACCGTTGAGGAAGGGAGGTTCACGATGGCCGGGTGGTGTGGGAGGCGACATGGAAGGGAGAAGGCTGCTATGGATTGGCTGCTCCCCCAGAAGGTGGTGAGTGGGGGGGACAGATGGAGGGAAGGAGGCTGCTGTACATTGGCCACTCCCCTAGAAGCTGTTGTGGGGGGGGATCGTGAGGAGGCGGTACCGAACGAGTGAGTGGGTGGTCTGTTACAGTGGAAGCGTCGTTACACGGTGGGAGGGGGTGGGGTGGTTGACGGGGGGTAATCTTCACTTAGTAGCCAGGACACCTCACCCAAGTGAGACCGGTCCTGGTCTCAAATCCTAGACATTAAGTTCCCTAGTCAATGATGTGAGGCCTGGCTTCAAGTCACTGATCCTGAGGTTTCCTGGTCTCAAATGCTGGACATTGAGGTCTCAAAGTCAATTATGTTGAGGCCTGAATTCAAGTCACTGACCCTGAGGTTTTCTGGTCTCAAATCCTAGACATTGAGGTCTTGAGTCAATGATGTTGAGGCCTGGCTTCAAGTCACTGATCCTCAGGTTTCCTGGTCTCAAATCCTAGGCATTGAGGTCGCAAGTCAATGATGTTGAGGCCTGGATTCAATTAACTGATCCTGAGGTTTCCTGGTCTCAAATCCTAGACATTGAGGTCTCAAATCCTAGACATTGAGGTCACAAGTCAATGATGTTAAGGCCTGGCTTCAAGTCACTGATCCTGACACCAAGTCTCGAACTCAAGGCACTGAACCGTATCAATATTTATTGTTATTTATGTATGGTATATTTACTTATTTATTGTGTCAGGTTACCTTGAAAAAGGGTTGGCCTGATTTTGTTGCACAAAGTGTGTGTTGGTTATGCACAGCTCTGGTTTATTTATAATTCGTGTTGCGTTTCCGTTTGTGCGTGTGTCTATTTAATGTGTGGGGAGCGGTGGCGCAGCAGTTAGCGCACTGCTGCGCCACTACGACACCCGAGTTCGAGTTCCATTCCCGCTCATGGCCACCACCAACACCAGTAGTGACGATTATCTGAACAACCGGCCCCAGGTTGACTCAGCCTCAAATGAGTAACCTGGTGCGGTGGTGTGGAAGTAAACATCGCCACGGGGGGAGACAAAAGCAGCCGGGCGTGGTGTTGGCCACTCACCCTCTTCACGTGCTCTGCCGGCCTTCATGGGTGCTGCTCGTAAACAGCACTTGCCCCCAACTGTCTGTTACAGGCTTCACGGGGGGATCTTTGACTTTGTTGTCCTATTCATGTTGAGTGAGTGTGTGTGCATTTATGTGCGTGGGGAGTGGTGGCGCAGCGATTGGCGCGCTGCGTTACGCGAACCCCGGGCAAACGCCCAAGTTCGATTCCCACTCATGGCCCGACATCATCAAGGGACAGCGAATATCTGAAGTTTGGATCCCCTGGGCCTCCCCTAGGTCGGCTCAGCCATAAAAAAACATCAGCACTGTGGGGGAGAGACAAAGGCGGCTGGGGCGTGGTTTCTGGTCACACCATCATAGGGGCACTTTCCCCGACAAGCCTTTTAAAGGCTACATGGTATCTTTTTTTTCATATGAACACGTGTGTGCGAATACGTGTGTCTGTGTGTGTGAGTTTACACGCATGTGAATAACAACTAATCTGTGTGTGTGTGAGGTGGACAGTGATTGGACAGAGACCTGCAAACTCCACCCGGTTTTTGTTGTCAACGTTTTTGCATCGCTGACCTATCGACCTATTTATTGACCTATTTATCGATTGCTTCTGATCGCCAGCTTCATTGTTGTGGTTGATATATATACACACGTACGTCCGTACGAGTGTGCTCGGATATTTATTCTCGCGATTGGAGGGGTGAATTCTGCCCGTGTAGCAGTAGATAGAGCCTAGCTGAGCATCCTACCGGGGGGACGGGGGGGGGCAATGGTACGAGGGGAGGGATTGAGGAGTGGTTTGGGTGAATGGGTGAGTAACGTCACAAAGCTACCCAGTTAGTGGGTGGGGCTAATCAATTCGTGGGGGGGGGGCTAGTGGTCCAGTGGGCAGGGCTGGTGGCTGAGTGGGCGGGGCTAGTGGTCGAGTTGGCGGGCTTAGCGATTGACTGAGCAAGGGCTAGCCGTTGAATGGGCGGGGCTGGTGGCCCCAATTTTACTGCGGGAATTGAACAAATCTCCCCGGGGGAGCTCAGATAATTAGTTAATTGGTTTTATGGTCTTCGGGGGGGGGGGCGGGGGGGGAGAATGAACAAAAAAATTCAGGTCGCTTGCTCGCGCAAACCACGTGACCAAGTAGGCGGATTTTTACGGGTGTACTTTGGAAATGTGTGCGTATACTAGTACATGGGTGCACTCTGTAAACGTGCATGAAGACGTCTACATGGATGCACTGTATAAACGTGCACGTATACTTGTACGTGGTACATAGGTGCACTCTGCAAATTTGCATGTAGACTTTTACATGGGTGCACTCTGTAAATGTGTATTTATGCTTATATTACATGGGTGCACTGTATATGCACGTGTAGATTTCTATATAGGTGCACTCTGTACAAGTGCACTTATACTTGTACATGGGTGTACTCTGTAAACGTGCATGTAGACTTCTACATGGGTGCACTTTGTAAAAGAGGATCGAACAAAGTTGCATGCAACCTGTGCCATTGGTTGAAGGCAACTGGATCAGCGACCCACAGAATCACGACACAGAGACCCATAGAATCACCACAGAGATACTCACATACTCCACAGAGACCCACAGACTCACCAAACAAAATCCCACAGACTAACCACACGGAGATTAATCACATGGAGACCCACAGACTCACCACACAGAGATCCACAGACTCACCACACAGAGACGCATAAACTCACCACGCAGAGACCCACAGAATCATCACACAGATACCCACAGACTCACTCCACAAAGACCCACAGACTCACCACACTACACAGAGACCCAGAGACTAATCACACTGAGCGTATTAAACTAATATTCTAAGCACAATCACCAATGACGTATATAGACACCCATAGAGTGTGTGAGTATATGGGTTTCTGCGTGGGTCTACGGGTCTCTGCATTTAGTCTTTGGATGTCTAGGTTTAGCCTGTGGGTCTCTGTATGATGACTACCATGGGTCTCTGTGCGATGAGTCTTTGGGTCTCTAGCGGGAGGCTACAGTGTGGACGCGTAGATCAAACTGATTCCTAAAAGCTCAAGTTTTTCACATGTGTACATACATAGCACTTTTTTTCGCCTAGTGGACACCCTGAGGGGCAGCTGCCCCTGTGCATTAGTCTACTGCCAGTAGGTGGGTGATGTTGCTGTGTGGTCCTATAGCTCAGGGGCACCCCCAGTGGCAGCTGTCCCTGCGCATTAGTCTGCTGGAAGTAGGAGAGCGACGATTGCTAATAGTTGGTCCTATAGCCGAGGGTAACCCCAGTGGCAGAGATCCCTGTTTGTTCATCTACTGCCGGTAGTAAGGCCATGATTGTTGCCGTGTGGTCCTACAGCCTAGGGACACCCCCAGCAGCAGCTGTCCCTGTGTAATTAGTCCACTCTGTTGTCCCTGTGCACTCTCCAAATCCGCTGTCTTGTTTATGATTGACCACCAGCTAAACATCGAACTCGCAATGCCGGAACACAACGGCCAGCTCCTCTGGACCCTGGATCGTAACCCATCGCTTTCCCTCTTACCCCCTCTCCCTCCTCGTCCCCTAAACCATCGCCCTCCCCTTTCCAAATGGAGCGATCGCGGTCTTCAATGGAGTGACTCGACGATCCGAGTCTCTGCGTGCCCTTCAGTTATTCAATGCAGGAGCTGATGATGATGACCATGAAATAAAGACGCGTGGGGAACGCCACCGTGGTTCGGCCTGGTTTCCCCCCCCCCCCCCCCAGCAAAAACTCGACAAATCCTTCAGCTCCCCCATTCATCCACAGCTCTATTCTTCATCCACAGCTCCCTTCTTCGTCCACGGCTGCCTTCTTCATATACAGCTCCCTCTTTCATCCACAGTTCCCTTCATCCCTAGCTCCCTTCTTCATCCGCAGGTCCCTCCTTTAATTCACAGCTCCCTCCTTCGTCCAAAGCTCCCTCCTTCCCCAGTTCCCTTCATCAACAGCTCCATTCTTCATCCACATTTCCCTCTTTCATCCACAGCTCACTCCTTGACCCACAGATCCCTTCATTCACAGCTCCCTCCTTCATCCACAGCTCCCTCCATCCACAGCTCCGTTCTTCATCCACATACAGCTTAAATTTTTCATCCCACGATGCATCTTTTGCTCCTTTTCTCCTTGTATTTAATAAATGCTTTCCATCGTCTTCTCTTCACTGGAAACTAAATCCCCCTCCACACATTAAAGCAGTCACCTCCGGCCACTCAGATGTTTCCGCTCCTTACTCAAAAACGCACGTATTGTTCCCTTTTAGGTTCACCCATTAATCTCCCCCTCATAACCACCCATGTTACTGTTCACCTCTTCCTATTCTCATTACAATGGCTATCACTCATTCACCCCATTCATTCGATCGTCATCATCATTTACCGTAATCAATTTCACTTTCACCAAATTCACGCATCATCACAGATTCACTCGCCGCCACCATTGATTGCTTCCTCTAGTCGATGTTTTTCACCTCATTTCCACCATTACATTTGTCGAGATTGTACCACAACCGACGATACCTACCTGATGTGGCAGACAAGGTGCGACATGGACAGTCTGGAAGTGCAAAACAAGCCCTCGACGATTGGTAACTTAATAGGCCTGGAAGGCGATTGTTTAGAGGCAGGAGAAATTGAAGGCAATGAATGCAGAAATACAAAATGGAAAAAGCGGGAGAAACGGAGGGATGTTTGACAGGGAGGTCAGTTTGGATTGGTTAAGGAAGTGGAAAGGTGATTGGCTGGTCGGAAAGTGGAAGGTCGAGGAATCGTCTAGAAAGGAGCTTGAGGGATATATAAGTGAAGGGAGAAACGGGAGAGAGCTCGTGCCTGAAGAAATAAAGTCCTACTACTATGTGTCGGGTGTCACTAAAATTCACACACACACACGCGTGTTGTACCATTCTTAATTCTCCGTGAAAGTGCTTTGGTTATGGTGCTGTATGAATTCCGTTAAGATAAGGTGAGGAAGGGTCCTGCCCGGATACTAATGTGGTGGGGGAGGGCAAAGGTGTGAGTCTATGGACAGTGTTAAGTCAATGGGCAGTGTAGAGTCTATGGTGCAGTGTTGACTCTGTGGGGCAGTGTTGAGTCTTTGGGTGGAAGTGTTGAGTCTATGGCCAGTCTTGACTTAAAGCTTTCGTGACTGCAGGAATTCATATTCTTGGGTTTTCGGTAAAGTTACATAGATAGGTTCAAAGAAAATAATAAAATAACAAAAAAACTACTACGTTTCGATTGCAACACAAGCAATTGTCATCAGGAGATCAGGAGATGAGGTTTGCTTGTGTTGCGATCGAAACGTCGTTTTTGTTATTTTGTTTGAACCTATCTACGTGACTTTACTGAAAGACCCAATAATATATATGGGCAGTGTTGAGTGTATGGTGCAGTGTTGAGTCTATGGTGCAGTGTTGAATCCATGGGTAGCAGTGTTGAGTCTATCGTGCAGTGTTAAGTTTATGGCGCAGTGTTGAGTCTATGGGCAGTGTTGAGTCTATGGGCAGTGTTGAGTCTATGGGCAGTGTGGAGTCTATGAGCAGTCTTGATTTGAAGCTTTCGTGACTGCAGGAATCCATACTCTTTGGTTCTTTCTGTAAAGCCACGTAGGTAGAAAAATTATATATCACGACGTTTCGATCGCTACACAAACGGTCGTCCTCAGGCAGAAAAATAATCCAGCAGTGGAACAGCGAGAGAGCTGTTGTAACAGCTCTCTCGCTGTGTTCTTCCTGTTTCAGCAGTTCCACTGCGTCGTGATAAATTATTTTTTTATTTTATTTTTTAATGAGCAGTTTTGAGTTAATGGTGCAGTGTTGAGTCTATGGGCAGTGTTGAGTCTATGGGCAGTGTTGAGTTT